AAACTCTGTAAGAGAAGCAGATTTCAGTGTTGACATCTGGATTGCCCTATAGGATGATGAATCTATTCCTGAAAACACCTCATAGCATATGCTGTAGTTCTCTAGGGAGACTTCAGGAGATAAAATTCTCATAGAAAGCGTGCTTGTTAAAAATAAAGGGCAAATATGCTAACTTCCAACTTGGTTAACTATCAACATAGTAATTTAGGGACCAGAGCTCCACAGTAACTGGAATAATAGTTTCCTCTCATTCTCTCATTCATTCCTTTCCATTAAGGTGGTTTTCAAGAAGTGGTTTCAAAATCAATCAGGCAAGGTTAAGGACAGAAATCAGCTGATCAAAAATATCAAATGAAAATGAAGACTGATGAGATGTAAAAGGATATGCATGCACTTCAGAGAGACTTAATGCCCAGGCATCTGTTACAGTCTGAAGCAGCAGGCTATTCCCAAGCTTTTTCACAGAGAAAAGATTAAGATAAATGTGTGGAGACTTTTTAGGACTTGTCTCATTTAATTATGTTTTATTCCAGCTGGTAAGAGAAAAATATAATTTGTAGATGAGGCAATGTTCATTGTGCTCTAATCAGTGCTTATGAGGAAATGGAAACATAGGTGATAACAAATGCTTTGGCAGCTGGAAGCAGCACAAGAGCCTGACTTAGAAGGTGTAGAATGGAATAATTCCAAAAGGAGGATAAGGCAAGAAGCCCTAGCATAAAAAATGTGTTACAAGTAAAGGCAAATAAGCCCTTTAAAATGACAACCCATGATTTAAAATTAGCAATTATGGCAGTGAGCACAGTTTAATGTGCATTTCCACAATAGTCACTGATACTTTGGACAGCTCAGTGCGAAAAGCACAAGAGCTCAGTCATGGACAATCTTACCCAGGATAGGTTATCTGCTTCACATCTGATCTGTAAAAATGAAGTACCTCACTAAGGCAGCTGTATCTCTTCCAGTTTTGAAGATAGGTCATTCAAGAGTGATATTTTTTATGACAGAAATATATGTCCACAGCAACAAAAAAGACCTTACTACACAGAGAAATCCATCAGTGTTCAGGGAATAGCTTGAAATCCAGTAAATTAGGCATAAAATTATTTTATAAAAACATTTAAGGAATTTAGTCTCCAATCTGTTTTCAAAAAAGAGACAAAAAGACATGGAGTTTAAAGTTCTGCACGAGACTCAAAAATGCACTATAGACACAAGAAAACTTAGCTGAAGAATAATTTTGAAAGTAATTTATAGGAAGACCTAGGCAAATAAAACATATTAAGCATTTTTCAAAGCATAAAACTGGTTTTGTTCATAATGCCTACATAGAAAGGGAAGGATCCTCCAGTAATTAATATATTAGATTTTGCAGGCCAAAAATAGGAAGTATCTTTTTCTTGTACACAGACTGATGGAAAGGAAGGGACAATATGGATCTATGAAGTTGATAACACTGTAAGAAAACAGCATGTTGCTTCGAAATGGTACCATGGTTTGCAGCAACAGATAGAAATAAAAAGAAATTCCACTAATTGAGATTTTTGATTATACAGATCAGAAAATGTGTAATTGACAGAAGTCCAAAAAACAGCTGGTGTGCTTTACTGAGGTTCTAGTTTTCCTTCTAATAACATCTAAATTTTGAATTTAACTGGTACTTTCAATCAAAGAAACTAGTAAAGGCTGAGTGATAAAGGTTTGGTATTTGAATGCAGCAGGTTTTCAGATGACACAAGACACTGCTAGTAGACAGAAAACGACAATGCTATCCAGCACCAGAGAGATCTATTACTGTTGCCACAACAGGAAAAAAATACTATATGAAATTCTCAGTTCACAGAAAATGCACAGACTTAGTGTCAAGCAGGCTGAGTTTACAGATTAGTCATCGGTCTGTACAACAAAGCAAGGAACTTCCAGGGACCAACCATCCTAACTACTGAGATTCAACAGCAGCAATACAAAAGATTAGGAGGTGCAATGCAGAATCTGTCTGTTCAAAAGTAGAATTGTCTTTTGGGTGGAACTAAAAGAGGAAAATAAAATAGAAAAGCCCTCAAGCTAGCACATAAATCTTTCCTAGCTCCTTGTCTTGTTGAGTGTGTAAAGATTACAGCTCTTCATATATCATTCTCAAATTGGAAGGAAAATCCAATGCTCTTGCAAATTAAGAAAGGGACTGATACAGATTTAAATTTCTCTTTCTATGGAAGTATTTTGAACAATTAATTCTTAAATATTCTTGAAGCTTTTACTAATTTCTTCATCTTTTCTTAAATATCACAATACCACTAATTAATGAGTGAGATCCAAGAGACACCATAGAATGGTACTTTCCATTTTAGATGTATCAAGCTCTTACATGCCAACATGGCTTGGAAGACATGGTGAAACAATAACACCACAAAACCTTTGACACAAAAATGGGAGGTTTCAATTTTAAAATAAATATTCTATACTGAACACTCTGATGATCTGTAATTACAAAACATTATATCATAGAGGACACACTAAGCACTGCTCCAAACAAAGGCACACCTTATTATGAAACAGAAAGTAATTATTATGAAACACTGCTATTTAAACATCCATTATGGAAGGATTGTTATGGAGTAGATATCTTCTTAATAAGAAACTCTGGGTAGACCCTATTAAACTAGTGGCACTCAGTCCGGGAGTTTCACAACACCAGGACTGTAAAATACACCATCAGCTGTGCAATACCCAACCTATGATCTGTGCTGAAAAGACATACCACTATACTGCAAAGTCCTCTTCACAAACACACTTTTAAGCATCTCTCTTTACATGACAGATAAAATTTTTGAATTTTATTTGCAAACAGGTCTTTATCTTTTGAATAATGTTCTTCGTTGTTTCTGCTTAGTATTCAGCAGGAAATTCAACTTTCAATATAGACCTGTTTCCTTTTATGAGCAATAATGTTAGAAAATGTTATCACTTACTACTAAGTCATTCTACACTATGAATAAAATCTGTAGATTGTCTTACATAACCCTACATCTTTTATTTCTAAATGTGTTATCAATATTTGATTGTACCAGTTAAGAAATATTGAAAATCTCTAGATATGAATTTATGTGTAAAAAAGATATCTTATAGAATTCTACAGAAATAAAACTTCTTTTCTCAGTATAAAATATATTCTGTATTGCTTTACAATTAAGATAATGCTTCCAATTACATAAGGAATTAATGGTGCTCATCACAAAAACAGAGAAGTGAAAAGAAATGTCAGCATTATTGCTCTAATATCTGCTATTTCCATATAAAAATAAATATTCCTTCCTGTTCTGCTAGTGAGCTCAAGTGACCAAATACCTTAATTTAAAAAATAGAAAAAAAAAAAAGCTTCAAGAAAATCTATCTTTGCTAAAAAACATGTCAAGGCGCATTTCAAAGCATAAGTAGGAACTCGGCTGTACAAATCCTACTAACATTATTGGGAGCTACCTGCCAAAAGCACTGTGCATCATGCTGAATATGTCCTTCAGTGATACCAGTAGGGTTAAAACTTTTGGACATACACGTAAATATTTTATGTTTCATATTTCACAAGATAACAGTTGTGATTTATGTTTGGCTGTGCTTTCAGAGGTATCTGTATGGCAGGAACACCTCAGAAGCTATTGGACTTTCTGGAACACCTCAGAAAATATTGTACTCTTTGTTATATAGTCCACTAAAACAGGGGTCTTTCAAGAAGCTTTCATGATAACTCTGGCTCTTTAAAGCAGACTTTTCAAAATGGCACACAGTAAAGTCTTTCATTACAAAATGTGTTTCAGTTTCATCTACGTTACTTCAACACTGAATGTACTTCATCTACAGGTGATAAATTACCTTTAAAGCAGTTTCTAAAAATATTACTTCTTCCTAATATAGGAATGATACAACTTCTCCAAAATGAAACAGAGAGTATCAAAAAGAGATGGAGAATCCTGATACTAAATACAGAACATCAGAAAAAGAAATATATGAAGATTCTACTGTGAACCACAGCATGAAATCATGGAAATCTCAGGACTGAAGTGAGATTTCATTATCAACTCAAACAAAAAGACCCCATCTTATAAAAGAGATAAAAGCCAGTATAGTTCACATGCATTCGATTAAAAAAATTGCAAGTGACTACAAGGGGAAAAGAGATTTCGTACACTGCTCTGAGCTTTTTCTGCTGTTATGACAAACGCCAAAGCTATATGTAAGTCTGTATTTATGGGAGCATCTGAACTCAGCCCTAGTGTGTTAAAAAGGAAATGGTAAACATTTAGGGATTTTTTGACAAAAGATGTTTTTCTGCTCATTTGTGTTGAAAAAAAAAAAAAAACCTGATAAAAAAGTGAGCTATATATATATAAAGTCAATTTATAATTTAACAGTTGAGGTATCATGTTCCTTAATTCTAAAAGCTCAACTAAGCTTCCAAAAACATTCCACTCAGAGACTTTAAATTCTGTGGAGTATCTCAGGGATTTCAACTAGCACAAAATTAAAAAACAAATATTTTTATCCTACTTCAATGATACTAATCTACACAAACTTACAACTGGTAGAGGCCCAGATTGGACATCTAGAATTAACATGGGCAGCTAAGTACTCTAATTGAGATTGAGCACCACTACATAAAAACAAATCAGAGTAACAAAATAAAACATGCAAACCCTGGGTTTCTAAATGCAGGCTTATTGGGAAAAGCTATTTTAAAAACTTTCTAGTGTCTCTATATTTGTAAATAAAAGAAAAAATCTAGCTAGCATACTCAAGACTTAGAGAAATAGTCCAGTAACGAACTGGAGACTTAGTATGGCAGTGGAGAATATTAATAGTGAGAACCCTCATCATTATCCTTCTGTAAATCATGAAGCTTAAATATAAGAGTATGAAAGTAAGAAAAGTTTTGTGACTTTTGACAATTATTAGTAAGAAAAAAATGGTAACAATTGCCAAAAAAATCACAAAAGTTGACATGTTACCTGGCTATGACAAAGAGCACACAACTGACACCCAAGTAAGCCAGCAGAATATACATCCAGATATCAGGGGAGAGAGGATTCAGGAAGGAGAAGACGCCCGGGTTTGTACCATTGGGCTTGCGGTACAAAATACTTATTCCAAGAGTCATAAAGGGCTTGGAAAAGTCGATGACCTTCTCACGAACATAGGTAATTGCCAATGGTGCAACTGCAAGGTCAGCTTTCTGTTGACAGAAATACAAAGAGAGAAAAAGGCCATAAGTCAGAAGCAGCAGGCTGAAGCAGACAAAAAGATAATGCAAAATACAAACTTTGTATGGAGGATGTTTATTCTTGTACTAGGTTGCCTGAAATTTAAAATTCTTCTCTCTATAACTAAGGACACAGATTTATTCTACTTCTTCTTTGCTAAACTGACATAGCATTTAGAAAAAATTAAAATCACTAGTACAGGGATACAAATGAAGAAAAATATTGCATCTTGCAGAAAACATGAACATCTATTATCACATACTTTAAAACTTTATCTTTTGTGCATTTCAACATATGTCTTCTCTTTGTCACTCCCTCACTGTGCTCTTTAGAAGCAAATATATTTGTGAAGCAGATGTGAATATGCTGGTATGAGTGCAGGGAAAGGACCAGGAAGCAGTTCTTCATATTTTAGGATAAAAATGGTACAAAATGAAGATCAGTTTAAAATTGGAAGTGCTACACCTGCAAGGTTGCTGAGGATGTTCTAACAAAGTACAACTGTCCTTACTCACTTGAGGGAATCACTGCAAAACTTACAGATAGTTATTAATTAGTTGGACTACTTAAAATGAATTCATCAATTTAATGCATTTTGTCAATTAACATTTAGTTTTAGTTATTACAGGAATAATTCATAGGAGATTAATAAATAGCCTATGCTATTCTTTTAATCAAAACTTAATGGAAACCAGAGTGACCAAAAATCTACAGAATCTACTTCTTAATCTCTGTCAACACTAGAAATACTCCTGTGTATGTATGAATGTGTAAGTGTGTGCGCATACACACATAAGAAAGAGGAAAATTCAGAGCGAGAAAGTTTATAGTGCAAGACCTGGAAAGTTGTAAAATAAGAATTCTTTATAAACCACACCAAATACAGGTATGTAATGACAGAAATGGTATAGCTACCATGGAGTACTGTTACCTACGAAATATATCCAAGTAGTATAGTTGCAAATGATACCATTTTCAGAATGCCTGTTTTAAGATACGGAGATATGATTCCAAATAAAATAAATCCACACACTTATGTACTTTTTGCTCATTTGATATTGTGTATACTGTGTAACACTCAAACTTCCATGCAATGTAGCATTTCAGTGTTCCTTTTTATTTTTATTTTTATTTTCTTACCTAACACAAAGTCCTTCTATGGTCTATTCTTGTTATGAACATTTATATAATTAGATTTACTGTAGTCAGTTGCAATATGAAACTTTGTTGACACTGTTAATTTTATTTGGTAAGGTTTTACTGGTCAAAAAAATTACATGCATTTCATTTCCATTGGTATTAAGAACTTATTAATCAAAACAGCAAGGCTTAATTCCACAGTGGATGACTTTTTATAGATTGCATATTATTGATGATATTCCAGCTGATGTAGAAAGAAAATGGTAAAGTAAGAAACTAAAATTAATTTGAATTAAAAGTTATAGGTCAACACGAAGAAGTTTAAAAACATAACAACCCAATATTAGTTTGTGAGGCAAGTAGCAGACCTTAACCAAAGAGTCTGAAGGCAGCTGACTAGAAATTGTTAGAAGAGGCAGCTTCCCCAAGACAGATAAATTGAATCTTTTGAAAAGCTATTGGTAGATGTGAATTTTGGTCTTATTATATTAACAGAACCTTAATAAATAACAAATAATTTATTTTAATAAATACCATGGAAAATCCAACTCTTCACAATTAGATGGAAACAAGAACATATGCAAATGAATACAGGTTGTAACTATCTCTAGTGGAGCCAAGTTGCAGATGAAATTAGAAGAATAACTGATCAATAAATAATATGTCACATATGACAGAATAGAACAGATATCCGAACCTGGGAGGACAGATATAAAATTTATGTACATAACTTGACATCTTAAGAGTCTCTTCAGTGGTGAGTAACTCTGGATATTCTTGAACTAGAATATCACCATAAGAAAAATTAAGCATCTAACAAAAAGAAAAAAACCAACAAAACAAAACAAAATTTGCAGTCTTTAACAACGAGGAAATGACAAACTTGAAAATGTAATGTTACCACACAAAACTTTTGTTAATATTGTTTATCTCAAATCGTTAATTCTCCTGGAAAATCTTTCATTCTGAAAAGAGCACTATTTGTAAATATGAGAAAGCAGGGGAAGCAGGGGCCAAGTTTCTAGAAGTGCAGTACCAGTTTCTCCTATGCTCAGCTACAATGAAGATATAGAAGGAAGAGAATCATCTTTAGTTTACTTCTAGTGACAAATAGGGGAGGAATAACGTAAAATTGGTATTTTATCCGTTGACATTTAACAACATTAACAAATTAGTGTATCCTAATATGGCTTTTTGATAAGTTCTATTACAAAGAATATTTGTCTCACTTGGCAGTGATAAATTATTCCATTTTTTGTAATCAAGGCATACATGGTTCTAATCTTTAAATGAATAAAAGTTATATCTACCTGAAAACTCAATCCATAATAGCACATAACTATTTCTTGAGATGACAAAAATTTTTATAACAGCATCCAAGTATTGGTGAGGTAAGCTAGTTGCCACAAAGAAAAAATCTGCAACTAAAGTGTACAATAGTGATTAGAAACAATCTGACAAGGACATTCCAAGGCAAGGCATGGTCCTGAGCAAAACGCAGGAGTTGTGCAGCCCAGTCTATGATATGATAGAGGACTGCACTGCAGATCATAAGCTGTAATTGTGCATCCTCTCCCTGCCTGTCCCAACCACCCCCCAGGAACTCAGGAGCTCCTGATAAACCTGCACCAAACCAGCTGAGCAATGAGGCACCCCCTTGATCACAACAGCAGGGCAGTAAAGAACCCCTTGAAAGCACCAGAAGCTCATCCATGATACAGGTGGGAATAACCCTGACCATAACACCTACCTGACCAAGGTGGGGACAGATACAGGTGGGGATAACCCTGACCATAACACCTGCCTGACCAAGGTGGGCACAAAGGATAAACATTCACACATGTATAAAGCTTCCCTGTCTTGCTACCATGTGCAGTTGTAGGATGCTCATTCACCAACATCTCAAGGTAACCCTGATTTATTTCTGATACAGAAGTGTCGAAGGTAGGCTGAAGTCATCCTCTTTGCTTCTTCCCTCACATTTTACTTCCAAGCAGTTTGTTCAGTGATTATTTTACATCAAGTAGTGTTCAAAGAGAAAAAGGGAGGACATTTTTCTTCGTTTTTACAGTTTAAATTTGGCAGATAACCTCTAAAAAGAGAGATTTTAAAATCATACTGAATTCAATCTATGCTTGCAGATACAACTAATTTCAGCAAGAAATCTGCACTTTAATACTGAGTAGTGTATGGCCACAGCATGTGCAGAAATTTGGTATTTGCAGAAATTGATGCTTTTTCTTTGAAAATTAACTCTATAAAACCTGGAGAAACAATCACAATAATTTTGGGAGAAATAGAATCTTTAAAGGACTTCATAGCCTCTACTAATTACACCAGGGAAAGGTAAAACAAACACCAGTTGAATTTTCTATTGTTGATAATTTTATGAAAAGCTTTTGTCTCACCTATTTTGTTCAAAACAATGAAGAATTTAAATACAATCTAGACACAGAAACAATAAAATGTCTAATAGCTATTTTTAATTAGACACTACAATTATACAATATCACCAAATTATCTGAGTATTTCAGACAATGTGAATGGAGTCTTCTGGTAAGAATTTTGCTCCTAACATTTTGCATTGATTTAGCAACCATTAATGTTTATACTAAAAATGCAAAGGGAATCATACACTATTGATTCTCAGTTGTTTATTCAGTGAATCCTTACAATCATATTGTAATTGTGTAATATACGCAAAACTACACATACACTGAAAAGACATTTAAGCAATTTTACTTCTCTACAGGCAGCAATGCACTTATTACCTGCAATTACTCTTGAAAATAAAGGAATTTGCCTTTTTTTAAAAGAAAAACTTCATACAGCTTTTGTTTAATCTACTATGTTTCCTCAACCTAAAACCCTAAGTCAATATGTAAATTTCTTCAGGTCAAATTTTTGAGACTGTTAACCTGAGTTGAATTTCAGTTACATTCCCTTTGGAGAAAATGCATGCTCAAGATAAAAGAGGAAGGTTAAAGCACAGCTTCAATTCTTTAAACCTGTCTAACACACTCCTAATGCACAGAGACCTTATGCATTATTCTTGTTCAGAGAAGTGCATTTCCCTGCCACTGATTTGAAAAGATAAGATCTGTAATTTGCTTTTAAGCTTACAGTCTATCCTAAACTGCCTTGTTCATGCTGCTACTTTATAGAAAATTTCATACCCCACAAGAAATTTTTAGTCTTATCACAAGGTCTTCATTTCCTCTGAAACCACTAGGAACTTATTAGGGCTTTATCTCTATTTTTATTATAACTAGCCACTTAAATTACTTTGACAGAAATCGTTTCTCTACTGCCTTTTACAGGATCATAGTACAATTCAAGTGGGGAGAGCTCAGGAGGTGTCGAGTGCAATTTTCTGTTCAAAACATCTACATGGATGAGACAGTTTTCTTTTGCACTTTACCCAGTCAGTGTTGAAAAACTCCAAGGAAGGTGACTACATGACATTTCCAGATAAGCTGGTCCACTGCTTGTCTATCCACATAGTGAAAAAGTTTCTACAGACAAGCAGTGGAGCAGACTGATTAGAGAGCTTATGCAATTTCCACCCTTGGAGGTTTTCAGTTTATGCTTGTTGCCTTTGGTCTTCCTGCCAGGCTCCTCTGTGAAAAGCCCAGATGGAGCTTCTTGATAACCTCCTCACAGGTCCTGGAAAGCTGCTGCTAGAAATTATTACCTTTGCCAATTTTGAGTAACATACCAAGAGGTTAAAAAGAAAAAAAAATCCAGATTTGATAGCTGAATTTGTCATAACTTCTTATTTTTGGTATCCTGATAGGTATAATTTAAACTTAATTGCTAATAATATCCCTTA